GTTCTTTTTAAAAAAATCTGTCATTCATATACTTCTCAGAAGCAGTGAGCCATGGAGAGGAGATCTGTATTCCTAGACTTGGTCTTACTTATATAACCAAATTTTTCTAGGTCTTTTACCTTATCTCATAAACAGAATTGTGATGGGACTTCAGTTATAGTAAATATATAGTAAAAATGCTTTTTTTTTTTTTTTTTTTTTTTTTTTGTGTCGGGGCCCGGCGCCCACACACACCAGACAGACAGAGAGAGAAATAGAGCCAGAAAGCGAGAAATCACCCCCCGAGGGGGGTGGTCATGCCGCAATCCCTTCTCTTCCATTCTCCTTTCGGGATCTTGAGCACGCACGGACACGCACCTGGCGTGAGATTTAAGCCACCGGGTCCGGGACACGAACCACGGTCGACTACGTGGGAATCCAGCGACGTAGCCATTACGCTAACTGCTGGTTCCTGTAAAAATGCTTATTGAAACAAACAGCTGGTGGGCCCCATAGCCTGGAGGTTAAAGTAGCCAGATCTCAAACCGGTTTGAATCCTGGACCTGCAGTTTGAAAAACACAGCAGACAAGTGTGTGTGCACATGTCCCAAATCCTGACAGGATGGAGAAATGCAGAAAGGCTTACACATACTCTCTGGCAATTAAAAACAACAAAAAATAATGATATAAATGCAAAGATACACTGATACTATGATTTTTATAGAAGAATAGTATAGTCTATTGTAATTGAGTAATTGGTTTCTAAGAAAACTTGTATTACTAAAAATCATGGGGACCATCAGATGGCATAATGGTTACATTGCTGTACTCATAGGTAGTTGACCGTGGTTCAGGTCCTGGACCCAGCAGCCCAAAACTCACACGGGGCAGTGTGCATATGTTCCCACCCAAGAGAAGAATGAAGGAGAAGGGATTGCAGCATGGCCATCCTCCCCAGGGGAATGTCTCTCTGGCCAGAGCATGCGCCCTATAGCAAAAATCTCTCAAAAGACAAAAGCAATTATGTTAGGGCCAGCTGATTGGCGTGGTGGTTAAGGCAGCTTGATCCTACATGGCCTATCGCATAGTTCAAGTCCTTACCTGGCAGTTTAGAAGAAACACTTTCGTCATGTGTGTGCATGCCCCAAACAAGAAGAGATTGGAGGAGAAGGTATTACAATGTGGCCATCCCCTATCAAGGGTGCTTTTTTACTTTCTCTCTCTGTTTCCACACAAATGAATATGTTGTCAAGCAAAGTTAAAATTATAAGACAGCTTTTATTTATTTTTTAAAGAATTCTTTTATTTACTTAGTTATTCATTTGTTTTAATTTGACCAGAGGGCAGAGAGAGAGAGAGAGTGACAGGGGTGGGGGAAATGAGAAAGCAAGCCGCCAGGTCTAGGATTTGAACTATGGTCAGCCATGAGGGAGTCTGGCACCCTTAACCACTACACCACCTACCACCCCAAACCAGTTTTTATTTTTAATGAGGAACAGTGTTTAGGTACTTGAAAGTTTTGGGCTCATAGCCATCAAGATATTTTTACAGCAGGAA